TTTTTTTTAGAACTAGAAAAACTCCACCTAAAAAAACAACTATTTCTCTCTCTATTATTATTTTCTATATAATTTAACAACTCTTATTTATTACATGTCGTAGCATCATCTGTTCCGTGTGAGAGGATTTTTTCCAAAGCAGGGCAAATTGTTACTGCTAAATGAAGTAGTTTACAAGGTGAAAAAGTCTCCCAAATCATATTTTTAAATTATAATTTGTAATAGGTATCTACATAATTTGCAAACATTTTTTAACTATTACCTATAACTGCATTTGAGATGATTTTGTTAATTTAATAATTTTTCCGTTTATTTATGACTAGGAGAAATAAACTTTATTCTATTTTTAATATCTTGATAATAATTTATTGCAGTTTTAAACAATTATATGTCCTATTAAAATATTCTACAGTATTCTAATAATAAACATTTATTTTTACATTTGCGGCTCACTTATTCCTAAATTATATTTCTGTCGTGATAATCAGTCAACGTTATATGGAGAATTCACACATATGTAGTCCAATCGTGAGTCGTGGTATTTACCTCTGACTCTGGAGCTGGAGTGGAACAATCGAGCTCGGCTCTCGGCTCGTTCAATGTTCAGTGCTCGCTCAGTGCCGGTCACAGATTAGGTGCCGGTATGAACGATGAACGATTAGCTCCTTCGTTGCGAGTCGTTCGTTCACGGCACAAGATTATGTGCCGGCACATTCGTGCGAGTCGTTCATGAGCGACCCAGCTCTAGACTGTTCGTGGTGTGTTCGTGTTCTTTGGCCTGAAGGCTGTTGTCAAAATTTTCGAAACCGGATTTTATTTTACCTATCATATTTTAGTGGTCAAATTTGTAATAATTATTGTGAAATATAGAGTGTCTAATACTTATTTACATATTTCATATAGGTAATTATATTTTGTCACATGAAATTAAAATGGGTTATAAGAGACCACATCTAACCTAAATTCCTGCCGCTGCGTGCTGTTACATTTTGTTTCATAATTTTTAGGTGGAAATGTCCGCAGCTCAGGTATTTAATCGGATTGGACAATTTGGTCTAGGTGTAGCTCTTGTCGGTGGTGTAATTAATTCTGCTTTGTATAATGGTAAGTAACAACCAATCTGTATTTATTGAGAATTTTCTGATAGAGTTCATTCACTTTTAATCTGTAATATATATCCCTGTTTCCAACAGGTTTCAAACCTTTAAATACCGCTATTGCTCCCTAGTGCAAAACATCAAGCTCTTGGTGCATAGCCCTCTTTTTACTTTAGGTATTTTTTGCACTGTACCGCATATTTGCCCACATACAAGTCTCTCGTTTTGACTTTGAAAATTAAATTTCAATTTGTTTTATCAATTTTGATACCAAAATAATGTAAATTGCATACATAAATAAAAAATGAAAGTATTATTTTCTATCGTAGTCTGAATTACATAAGTCCCAGCATTAAATACCAAAAAATTGGCTGGTATTTCAGGGGTCAGAGGGAAGAAAAGTAAAGCACTTCAACGTATCAAACTCCTATCCACTGGAGTGCTTATAAATATCTAAGGAGTGCCTCTGAGCACTCTGGGAGTACAACCGTTGCATATAACAGCAAACTGAATTATCTTAACCTCTTAACTGTTTCTATCTTTAATTTATAATAGCAAAATTATCCTTTGTAGTTTTGAAGCTTTACAAAGTAGTATTATAAAATATCGACTATTAAAAATAAGTTTTTCATTGATTATAATGCTATTTTACTTGCAGTACTTTGAAATATGATCTTAAGGAGGTTCGATAACGAAAAAATGGTTGAAAAATGAAAATGATAATCATTGAAATCTGTTAATAAATATGCAAATTGCCTCGTGTAAAAATATCAGATCGATTGCCAATATAGTTTTTTTGAGAAACGATATTAAAAATTATGCTCATACAGAAGCTCTTATGGGAGTTGGGAAAAAACTTTAATGAAACATGAATATTGCTCTTAAAAATGGTTAGCATCGTGAAAATAAAATTGTAATTAAAGATTTAAATATTACTAAATATTTTAAAACAATAAAAATATACTTACAATGTAATTATTGAGATAATGGAATGAACAGATAATGTTTTGACAAATTTGAATAAACATCTCATCCAATGAAAGGAAATATGGATGCTGTACGCTGTATTTAACGCTTCGACTGATGCGCTATATTTGAATAGCTCGATTATAGACTATAAAATTAGTCTAGTCGAAAACATAGACCACCTAGATTGGCTGTATCTAATTCCAATCCACGGGTATCAGTGATGGCAAATTGCGGGGAAGTGGACTGTGTGTGAGGTAATCTGATCGCGCATCCTGTGATCATGTCTGCATTAAGCAATATTTTTATACTTATGACAAATATTCATTTTTCAAGTTTGGAATTCAGAAAATAATATATTTTAATGTCTTGCTCATATTAAATAAACACAAAATAATTTAAATATATTTATTGCCATTAACTAATGTTTTGTCTTTTCGTAGATTTTACTGAACAAAATATTTTGACTTCATGATTTTTCTCACATCAATATACTTTGCATATACAGCCCTTACAAGTTCTATTAAATGATTACAATTGTTAAGGAAATTATCAAATTGATATTTTCACATTCAAAAAGTTTTTTAATACATGATACATAATTTTATTTTTCTGTAGCTTGGGTGTAGGTTGGTGTTTTTATAGTTATTAAAAAAAATTTTTATTTTTTCAGTTTCTTAAATTGCCATTTTTCATTTTTAAACGACATTTATTTTCTGCGGGTTATCTTTTTTTTTGTTTATTGGAAATGAAGGACAGCCGCCTAACTTCATATTTTAGTTTTTTTTTCTTGGGATATCATCACTAAAATGGTTTGGGTGAATCGTATATCCACGGAGATTTTTGGTTTTTTAGCTTTCAAATATCACTAGAAATGAAAATTTTTCTATGCGCATAAAAAAAAACGTGGGCTTAACTTTTGACGGCACAATATATTAAAAAAATTGGAAAAATGTCATATTTTTCTTCCTATTTAATTATGTATCTTTTTAAGAGTTGATTTTAGGCGAAAATGGAAGAGGAAAAAAATGTTTGTAATTAAATTTTTTACAACATGACTGGTTACAAATCGAATGAATCATGATTATTATGGTAAAAATCGAAAAAATCACAAAAACGGGGTTAAAAAACAATACTTTTTAGGGAATTTTTTTGGTGTATTTAAATTGGGTGTAGGACCTTTATACTTGGCTCAAGAAAACTTCATGTTATGTAGAATCATCACACCAAATTTCATCAAAATCGGTTCGATAGATTTTGCATAATAATTTTGCAATCCAGATTTTGAAAAAAAAATTGCAAATTTTCAAAATTTTGCACAGCAAAAACCAAGGCCCTTAGATACTTGAAAATTTAATCACATATAGAAGGGCTCTCAGGCTTTCAAACTTTTTTTGAAAAATTCGAATCCGTCAATTAGGAGAGCTCTGGCGCTTGTTTAAACATTGGTCGAATTTTTGTACTTATAAACAATTAGAACTTTGTGAATATTCAATCAAATCAAATTTTTTAAAGCAGGTTTTAAAAGTTCTTGGAAAGACGCTTCTTTAAAAAAAACAGATCGATTGATCAATTAGTTACGTAGTTATAGCCATCATTTACACTAAATGTACTGGGACATCCGGGTTAATTTTTCGAAAAATATCTTTGGTATTCCGAGTACTTACCAGGTCTAAGATTACAATACTTTTCTTCATTGGCAACCTGCTTTAAAACATGTTTAAAGTTATTTATGCAAGCGAGAAATTCAATAAAATCGTACGGGTGGTGGTGGTGGTGGTGGGGGAAGCAGAGAGCGCGGCCGCTTCGACGAAAGGGCCTTGGTTTTTGCTGTGCAAAATTTTGAAAATTTGCAATTTTTTTTTTTAAATCTGGATTGCAAAATTATTGGTGTGATGATTCTACATAACATGAAGCTTTCTTGAGCCAAGTATAAAGGTTCTACACCAAATTTAAATACACCAAAAAAAAATCCCTAAAAAGTATTGTTTTTTAACCCCATTTTTGTGATTTTTTCGATTTTTATCATAATAATCATGATTCATTTGATTTGTAACCAGTCATGTATTGTAAATAATTTAATTACAAACATTTTTTTCCTCTTCCATTTTCGCCTAAAATCAACTCTTAAAAAGATACATAATTAAATAGGAAGAAAAATATGACATTTTTCCAATTTTTTTAACATATTGTGCCGCCAAAAGTTAAGCCCACGTTTTTTTTTATGTGCATAGAAAAATTTTCATTTCTAGTGATATTTGAAAGTTAAAAAGCCAAAAGTCTCCGTGGATATACAATTCACCCAAATATGGCTTTTTGAAACAGCTACCGTCTGGACTATTTTCATTATCCGTGATATTCAAAGTTGACATTGAAGATGTAGGTACTACTTAGGTCAGAATATGATGACTGCGACATGGTAGGTTGGCTGATAGGAGACGTAAAAGAATCTGAAGATTGGGACTGTTCATGTTCATAAAAAAGGATTAGTGAAAATAATTTTTATAAAATTATGTGATGCGCATTAAAATGTTCACTAAGTATTGGGAGAGTCTTACATGCACAAAAATATCATTCAAATAGCACAGTCCAGGCAAATGTTACAGGAGTGTTCTAGATCAAACTTGAACACACTGTGCATATACATATAAAGTATAATTACTTATTATTTCTGGTAGATTTAATGAGGGAACTGCATTTTTTTGCTAATTTGCGAACTACATATTTGTTGAAAATAAAAAAAATTTCTTAAAAGTGATTATACGTGAACATAATCCTGAAAATTTTGATGGTACCCAATCCTGTTTTTTTAAAGTTTTCACATATCTGTACTTTATGTCAATACCCTTTGGAAATCAATAAAAATTGAAATATTAGATTTGAAAAATCGAAGCAAGTATAAACATTTGGTAATTATTTATTTTACCATAAAACTCTGATTTTTTTAATCAAATTTTGCCAGCCCCCCCCCTTTTCCATGAACTGAACATGAACTTGAAATTAGTTTTTTGTAATTTTTTCGACGCAAAAAATAATATCACATTAATTTTCAGCTCCTCAAAATTTATTTATTTATAATAATTTCACGTTTACCATTGCACTATATGGGCGAACAAAATTATAAAGTTAAATGGCGCATATAATGGCTCAAATTTACGTTTTATATATTGCTTATTTTACTGATCTAGAGAAGGAAACTTTTCGGCTCTCTTCACCAACTTGTTCACTTCTATTTATACAATGTTCTACAATACATTTGCCCAAGAAAAAATAACTAATTAGCGGCACATACAGCTCAAGTTTCCAGATACAACTGATGCTGGCTGGGCTCAGGGCTACCGACTGGGCTCCCAACTGCCTTCATCATAATCGCCCTATAGCCAGTCTAGGTGGTCTATGGTCAAAAACACATGTAGTAATAATTAATATTGAATACATTTTTCGTGATCTAATGCAATATAATAGCAATTTGAAACAAAAATTGAAAGGATCTTTTGCAAAACGAAGAGTATAGATGTTCTGTCATAATCTTGAATTTGACAAGGCGATGTCTCACTACCATACACTGAGCTTCTTGATAGTTATCATATGCATTCTCGGATTGCACATTTTACTTTTTTCTCATCAATCCACATTCTGTTTCATAAGCATTTTTATTGCTTTTCAGTCATTACTTTTCCTTTGTATCTTGGATGTTCATTCATGTTTATGGTATACGCGCTGGCCCAGTTTTGACAGTTGACCCAACTTTCACACCATTCCATACTGATGTGCAATGTTGCCAGATTTCACCCATAGTTTTACAAGCTCTTAATGAATAAATAGACACTTTTGTTCAAATAATAATTAATTGCCATGCATTAAACACGAAAAATATATGTGTTGGATAGATTTCATTCATAAGTAGCATATTCAAATTAGTTTATGTAAAGTTGGTACTCCAATGAAACTCCCGTGTATAAGCATAGGCTTCCCTTCCGCACCGCCTGTCCTGCAAGAGATCTATCGAACCTCCTTAAATCAAAAGGGTACATTTACCCAAAAACTTTTTTAACTATAAATAATCTGTTTCTGATATGTGTTTTCATTTACATATGCAGATTGTCTATAACTGAATGAACCAACCATATTTCAAGGATAGCTTTTTAGAATCGAAATATATCGATTTGAATTAGGTTACTTTAGTACAATTTTGCTTTCTTAAAAAGTTACAGACCCTAAAAAATAAATTTTTTAATTCTTTCTAAGATAACTTATCGACGCCCTGTATCTTAAAAACAAGTAATAAATTCATGGTCTATATAAAAAAATGTATTTTTTCATGTTATAATATTGTAATATAATAATAATAATAATACGTACATTTTCTCCTACAATGTTTTGTACAAAGTAATGACAGTCTACTCCTTTATTTGAAAAATTCCACTCTTCACTAGCTACATTTTTCATTTTTTTGTTTCAAAGTAATTTGTACTGCGAATGTCCATAGTGTAGAAAGTATGTCTGGTGTATAAACATTAGTCACGATTTAGCCCCGGTGAATATAACCTTTATGTTTGTATCGGGTTAATTCTAATAAAGACTTCAGTGAAGATAGGCCTTTTAATTACTTATGGCTATATGTGAGACCATTGGCAATATGTATATTTGGTAGATGATAAAAGACCATTACAATAAATGTAATTGAAATTACAGTGGATGGTGGACATAGAGCAGTTATATTTGACCGATTTGCTGGAATTAAAAAGCAAGTTATTGGTGAAGGAACCCACTTCTTTATTCCATGGGTCCAGAAACCTGTAATATTTGATGTAAGGTCAAGACCTAGAAATATACCTGTAGTAACTGGAAGTAAAGGTAAGGCACAACATTTTAATATAATCTTTGGTTCCATTAATTTCTTTAAAAAGTGCAATGACAGTTTCTTGACAGTTCTTGAAAAATTATTTTATATTATATAATTAACACAGTTGAATTGATATCTTACAAATAGTGTTGCAAAATTTCACCTTATGATATATAGGGTGTCAATATTCCCTGTATATGACAGTACTCTAACTACTCTTGTACTACAAATAAGACGAGTATGCTAGTATTATGTCTAGATGTTATTTTTTGGCATCTACCCGAATTATTGCATTTACACAAATGAAAAAATAACCTCAGCAATAAACATATTTAACATATTAAACATATAACATATTAAATATTTTTTGCATGCTACTTTCAGTTTTTATTTTAATATTTAATTAATGGCTTAATTATATTACATGAATTGAATAAGAAACTACTGTCCATAATTTGCAGAATGAGGACAGTATGAAATGAATGTGACTTAATGAGATTAATTTTTTTTGAAAAAAATCTTTCCGTCTGAGAACAGAGCGTCGGTCCCTGTCCCGCCTGTTCTCAGCGCTCTCCTGATCCTTCCGTCTGAGAACAGAGCGTTGGTCCCGGTCCCGCCTGTTCTCAGTGCTCTCCTTATCCTTCCGTCCGGGAACAGAGCGTCGGCCATTTTCCCGCCTGTTCTTGGAACCCTGTTTCCCTGAAACTCCGAGGCTTGGTCCCTGTCCCTCTCGGAGTTCCCCACTCACCTGTTCTCCCGAGTAGCCGTCAACCTGAGTAGAACGCCGAATCGCGGAAAGCTTAGTTATCCATTTTCCAAAATTTCACCGAATGTTAGTACCGACCATCACCGATTTATCAGTGGTGAATTTATTTATTTATTTATTTATTTAAATAAATGGGAGTACATATCTTAGAAGAAGTGTTTTTTTCTGATCAAGACCCATGGTGTACACTTCTCTCCACTGCTGTTACCCGGACGTCGACTTTTTGTGGGACATCCGGGTCTTACACAGAAAGTTAGTCACATGTTAAACTTCAAAAAATATTTTTAATTTTTTGAAATAATTTAAAAACTAGTAAGTGAAATAATGTGAAATTGGGCACATGTTTTTATGTAAACATTGTCCAAAATTTGAGGGCTTTTTCTAAAATTTACGTACTCTAATGATTAAGATACAGGGTGTCGGTGGCATATTTTTCTAAATAAAATAGTACGCCTTTCAATTTTTTACAAATTACTACTCTTATGTTTTTCGAAAAAAGCCTGATTGTTGAGTAAAACTTAAAAAACGAATTGAGAACACACTTCCATATTCGAATACAATGCTTTTTAAAATTACATAGTGGGCTGCGATAGCAACATACACATTCTGAGCAGTTAGAAGAAAGAATAAATAATGCTTTTCATCAGATTAAAGCAACAATAAATTTCGAACAAATTATATTTTCGTTATTAAAAGGATGTCAGACCTGTGTTCCTGGAAATGGAGATATTTTTGAGCATTTACTCAAATAAAATGATTAAAATGATGAATAATGTTATTAATTTCTTTATTCGAATAAATAACTGAATGATTAGTGCTTGTCATGTTATTTAAGTAAAAGTGTTTTCAGTTAGTTTTACTTGGAAATCAGGGTTTTTTCGAAAAACATGAAGAGTGTAGTAATTTGTAGAAAATTGAAAAACGAATCCATAAATATCATGGTTATTACCGTAAAGTAGTGGCGTACTATTTTATTTAGAAAAACATGCCACCGATACCCTGTATCTCCGTCACTGGAGCATGTAAATTTTAGGAAAAGCCCTCATATTTTGGACAATGTTTACATAAAAACGTGCCCAATTTCAAATTATTTCACTTAGTAGTTTTTAAATTATTTAAAAAAATTACAAATATTTTTTAAAGTTTAACACCTTGTATCTTTTTAACGAAGCGTTCTAGATAAAAACTTTTTAGGAAAGACTCCCTTTAAAATTCACCAAAGAATACGAGATTTCATTTTTGGTCACCCTGTAGAATCCACTATTAAATAGTGGCCTAATATTTTAGTTTCACCTTATATGTAGACAATAGATTTTAATGTTTATAGTCTAGTTAGTCTCTATTTTGTAATGCTTATAACTCATAGGATATAAATAAATAAATAAATGTTTATTTGATATGGTAGACCTATTTATTTTCTAATTATGGTATTTTATTTTTAGATCTTCAGAATGTAAATATTACACTGCGTATTTTATTCAGACCTGTACCAGATCAACTACCAAAGATTTACACAATTTTGGGTCAAGACTATGAGGAACGTGTTTTGCCCTCTATTACAACGGAAGTTTTGAAAGCTGTAGTTGCTCAATTTGATGCTGGAGAATTGATCACACAGCGAGATTTAGTTTCCCAAAAAGTGAGTGATGATTTGACGGAAAGAGCTGCACAGTTTGGAGTTATTTTAGATGACATTTCTATTACACATTTAACATTTGGAAGAGAGTTCACTCAAGCTGTAGAATTGAAACAAGTTGCACAACAGGAAGCCGAAAAGGCTAGGTTTGTATATTATTTTCATTGAAAAGAAAGTGGATGGGTGACATTTCGTTTTATTATGGGAGATCATAATATAAATGTATGGTGGAAGACACATATTTTTATTTGTCTGATTTTAAGAAAAAGTAATGGTTCAAAATTAGATTTTTTTCTCAAAATCAAATGCAAATTCTGCATTTTAGATACCGCCGAACATGGTTGAAATACAAACAAAAACATTTATAAATGCAGAAGATATTTGAAAGACTGGAAAAAAATTTAGTATGATGGCTAATATCTGGAAAATTAATATTTATTATGGGCAAGTGGGGTTGAAATGACGTCAATTTGTTTCTAGTTTAGTTTTTTCCTTCTTTATGTTACATATTGTCTAAATATTATTTAAAAGGCTATTAGTGAAGTCCATCAGCCTGTCTATTTTTAAAATAACGAGTATAATGAACAGTATAAGGAAAAAGAAAAATCAAGTAATGACATCTTAAAAAAACACACCTTGTATGTATTCAAGCACATTCTGGATGATTGTATCTGGGTTGGTGATTATTTCTCGGATTGTTCCCTCAGGATATCTAAATCTTGGTCTGGCAATTGCGTTTCTTGAAATCAATAATAGTTAGTATTTCTAAGTTATTGACAGAGATTATTTATTTGCAACATAGTTTTAGTTTTTCCTGAAAATTTGATTAGTACTTTTGGCGTAAGAAGAGCAATGGTGTCTCTGCCCTTTGAAGAATTTTTTAAATTGCTTTGTGACAATTCAACTTGACCAGGAGTGGTCTGCAGATAATTTTGTATATTCTGGTATCAGTTCAAGTGTTATTTTTGTAGATAAGCATTCTGAAAAGTTTTGCTCTGAATATAAATTTTCTTTTAATTAATTTGAAGATGTACAGAATCTGTTACAGTGCATTAAAGTTAGATTTAGCCTGTAGTATGAAACTAAAAGATTGAGGTCTTATTCTTAATAATTTTCTTGACACATGTTTTTGGTGAACTTCAATTAGTTGGTGCTCATGCAAAAATAATAACCTTTTGTGTCGACAGTTGTTCTCAAAATGTTTGTTTAATTATAGCTCCATAAATATTTGTAATTTTGAAAATTGGGTTCCACTGGACTCATTTATGTGCAATATATTTTTTTCATAACCGACTGATAGATACAATCAAATGCTTTTTTATTACTCACAAAATTAAATTTTGTTCAGACATAGTTATACCTATTTATATTTTAATTTGACTCCAACATTTTTTAATTTTGTAACTTCATAATCTGTAACTTTAAGGAGGTTCAATTCCAACAAAAAAATGGTAAGAAAGTTTTCAAACCAATTGAAATCTCTTAATAAATATGCAAACAGCCTCGTGTAAAAATATCAGATCGATTGCCAACTTAGTTTTTTTGAAGCATGATATTAAAGTTATGCTCTTTTATACACCGTTCTTTTGGGAATTGGGAAAAAACTTTCATCAAACGTGAATATTGCTCTTAAAAATGGTTAGGATCGGGAAAATAAAATTGTAATTAAAAAATTAAATATTACTAAACATTTTCAAACAATAAAAATATGCACTTACAATGTTATTGAGATAATGGAATGAATAGACTACGTTTTGACAAATTTGAACAATCTGATCCAACAAATGGAAATATGGCAACGCTGTATGCTGTATTTAACACTTCGACTGAGGCGCTGTATTTGATTAGCTCAATTATAGACTATAAAATTATTCCAGTCGAAAACATATGCTGCAATAAATTAATATTAAATAATTTTTTTGTGATCTACTGCAATACGGGGTGTCCCGAAATTTATGCAACAAAATTTGGTCACAGATTCTTCAGACAAATTTAGGGGACATGTATTTTTAATTTTTGCCAAGTGACCCCCTCTTTCGGAGTTACAGCCCCCTGACGTCCGCCCCTAAGAATAATCTTTTTATATCTCAGAATCCTGTTGTACGAGAATCACTAAATTTGGTACACAGGGGTTTTATGACGTGGAATCTGATGGTTCTATGTTTTTTGGCGGGGAACCTCCTTAAGACAATTTTTCGTGGGCCCCTTGTCTTTGGAGCCAAAAAAATTTGTTCGCATATTTAAATTTCTTAAAAATTCACTAGAAAGCCATTAAATTTAGAAACTTTTTTGTCTCTTGATATTTGTTTCATAAAACGCAATGTTTTCAAGAAAAATGTCAAAATGTAATCGAATGCATATCGTGATTCACCATTTTCCTCAAAAACATTGTGTTTTCAAAACAAATATCAAGTGACAAAAAAGTTTCTAAATTCAATGGCTTTCTAGTTAACTAATAATTAAAAAAAAAAATCTAATTTGCAACCAAATTTTTCTGGTTCCAAAGACAAAGGGGCCCACACATAATTGTCTTAAGGGGGTTTCTCGCCAAAAAGCGTAGCACTGTGAGATTCCACATGTCATAAAACCCTTGTGTACCATATTTAGTGATTCTCGTACAACATGGTTTTGAGATATAAAAAAGACTTAGGAGCAGATTTCAAGGGGCTGTAGAATACTATACCAACGAGAAGCGACAGAATCGGCGGTTCCTTTGATGTTTTGTGGTCACGCCAAAGTCGACCGATTTGACAGAAACACAATCGTTTACACTGAGAGAAGTTACACTTTTAAATAGATGTACACTCAATGAACTGCATCAGTATCAAACATTGGTCATATAATACAAGGAATAACTGTGGTAAAATGTAGACAAATTAGGTATAATATATAAAAAAATAGAACAAGATGTTTTACCTAATATTTTTATTAAACAGATATAATATTTTTCTGCAATATTTGAAATAGTTTTTTAAAAATAGGTACCTGACAATGCAATAACTTCTTTGGTACAATCTTCCACAATTTTTGCCTCTAGCTCTTCTTGATCATTTCTATTTGAGGAAACTGTATAGGTATTCCGTTTGGCAATAAGGTTATTCTTACATTCCCTTTACCAATATATTTGGTTTCAAAATGGTGTTCACAAAGCCTATAATTCTTATATACATCCACAATCCTAGGCAATAAATCGAGTTTATTGCAAGTTTCTGTCCACACTCGAGCACTGCAAACAAAAATAAAAATTCTAAAGATATTCTCTATACTTATGCAATACCATATTACAAGAAAATATACCACATTATTTTAAAAATCAAAATACTTTTTTCTGATTTACAGTTTATAGGTAGGTACTTAAAATAATAATAATTATTATTATTATTACCTTTCTAATCCTTACGTAATCTCAAAAGGATTAATCCTTCACCAGTTTTAGATGAACAATCGCAAAAAGCACAATAATAACCATGGATTTTATTGATTTCAAGTTGATTCTAATTGTAGATGGAAACGAAATACAATACAAATAAATCCACTATCAATTAACATTATACAACACAACTGTCCACCGCCAAAAAAACTATTACTCGTTTCTTCTATTTATATTTGGCAGCTCTGACAGCCATTGACAACTGACAACAACACAACCCAATTCGCGCATGCGCATACGAAAACTGTTAACGCAGAAAGCCTTGCTGTCGCTTCTCGTTGATGTAGTTTTCTCTGTTTACGGTATACACGCTAAGCACAGATGACAGTTAACCCAACTTTTATCACCACGCAATACTGATGTGCAATGTTGCCAGATTTCACCCACAGTTTCACAAGCTCTTAATGAATAAATAGATACTTTTATTCAAATAAAAAGTTAATTGCCGTGCATTAAACACGAAAAATCTATGTGAGCTATTATGTGTTGTACAAATTTCATTCGCATATATCATTTTACCTTCTTCAAATTAGTTTGTGTAAGGTTGGTACTGCAACGAAACTCCTTATATAAGCATAGGCTTTCCTCTCGTACCGCCTGCCCCACAAGAGATCTATCGAATCTCCTTAACCCTTTGACTGCTACCGGCGGACATACCGTACATTCACAGTATAATGCTACATAGGAATTAGCTTCGTTCGAGTTCGTAAATTCGGAAGGGTGGGGAGCGCTGTGTGTAAGCCTAGTGCTGTAGCAAATTTCCAACAGCGCCGCACGCAGAGATCGACATCCCCACCGCTGAAGCCACACGAGTTTGGCCGACGCACCTCCTATATAGTGTTTTCCCGCGAAAGTACGGTATACGATTTGAGAAATTGTGCCACTGTTGCTAATGACAGACATATATGTTTGCTATTCTGCTGTTAACTGCGGTAAACATATATAAATGTGTTATGTAGTGGGGATATCATTGGTAGGGTTAGAGGTTATCTGAACGTACGGAACCTATGTAAACCGCATTTGATGACCGTATTGTGATTGCGCTGGACGTGCCCTCTAAGAATAATTGTAAACTAATGTTTCGGTAGATATCATACTGTCAAGCATTTTTAGTTGATTGTTTTGTTACAAAGAAATAATATTGTTTTGTGTTATTTTATGCTAAGAGGGTTAAATAAATACTATTTTAATCATCAAATTTTTATTGAATACTGCTGATTTTTCTGATCTAGTTTGTTATCAACTTCAATCCACTCAGCCAAAGCAAATGTTAAAAATTGTTAGCTACAAAGTGTAACAACACCATGAATTAATTGTCCAATAAATAAGTTTCGACTATTATTGACACTTTTCAACAACCATAACCTATAACATATTCCCACGTTGTGGGAAACGTATATGTATAGTCGCACAGGTGGCACGCCTCTACTGACGGTTAGCTCCAGTCAAAGGGTTAAGAATAATGAAATTTTTGTGTGTTGTAACATTCAATGGACTCAGTGACCCTAATCATTCCATAAAAACTGGTATGGACCCCACAGTTCCTTTTTCAAATTTCAATTTTCACCAGCTGCACTAGTTTTTATAATTTTATAAATGAAATACAATTTTTATATTACAGGATATCTCTCATTTGGGCTCTAATCCCTAATTTTATAATTTTAGGTTCTTAGTAGAAAAGGCTGAACAAACCAAGAAAGCTACAGTTATATCTGCCGAAGGAGATGCACAAGCTGCCATTTTATTAGCAAAAGCTTTTGGTGATGCTGGCGAAGGGTTGGTAGAGCTTAGAAGAATTGAGGCTGCTGAAGACATTGCTTATCAACTGTCCAGGTCAAGACAAGTTTCCTATCTGCCAGGAGGACAAAATCTATTATTAAATGTTCCAACTCCCGGCAATTAAAAAGTAAAGCACGTACTGTAGCATTTATTTACTTATACATAAGAAGTATGCCAGGTGTTTTTATGTGAGTGCAAATTTATATACTTCTGAAATTTCATTATGGGCAATGTTTTATGGATATTGTACATATAATGAACAGTTATTTTTTATAATATTAGTGCAGATTGTACTGTTCTCTGTCATTAATAAATTGTTGTAAATTTATCAGTTTTAATTACCCTTTGAATTTGTCAAACAATTCCGTGCAGTGATGGCTGGTGAAAATTAATGTGGTCATATATTAATAATGAACCGTGTTACTCATACCATTTTTTAGGAAATGATTTCTAGAAACACATGGAGAACTTTTATAATATAAAAATTTCAAACGAAATTTGTAATATACAGGGTGTTTCGCATGAGAACCGACACAGAGCGAGGACATGTACGGAAACCCAAAATATAGTGATTTTACACAACTTACCTTTATATTAAGCCGCATCCCTGAGAAGTTATAGGCCTTGAAAGTGAGTTCAAATTTAGAAAAACCAATATCTCAGGTACTTGAACCAAATTTGGTACACGGTGTGAGTGTACCAAGAGCATTAATTTGATATTTATTTATTTATACTGCATACAAACAGACAAAGGGACAGTCCAATTACATGTATACAGTTGAGAAATGTTAGCAGTTAAAAATAATGTATAAACAACCAGACACATGCAAAATACAATGTAAAAAGAGAACAAAGAAAGAAAACAAAAAAATGTCAATTAAAATGTACATAAAACAGCCAATTGTATACGTATCATAAGTATGAGAGTAGCTTAGTCCGACTAATATTAAAAATATCAATATCGTATGTTCTTAACAAATTATTCACCATACACAGACACTTCTAGGGGTGAATTAATAAATATTTTAAAAAGTCTATATCTAGTTTTCATTTGAAAGTAAGTAGAGTTCAATTGAAGCGTCTTAAAAGGTTGATAAAGGATGATCAAAAATTATTACTTTATTTCATGAGAAATTTAATTTTGAAAAATTTCTTACTCTTAACTGTAGTTTTCAACAAAAAGACGAATAACTAATAGTCCAATCAGTTGGAAGTTTTGCCTATGAAGTTTTAGGGGAGTTTTGAAAATTGATATATTTATAGATTTTGACGTGCTCTTTCCGAATTTTTACTTTGCCACCTCTTTTTTTTCGGAAGTAGCTGCATTGGAAAAATGGCGCTCCAAAACAGTTTTTCGATTATATTTCTTTTCCAACTCACTTTATGGTGAAAAATAGTTATGTAATAAATTGAAGTAGAGATCATTTCCCATAATTCTGATTCATTTGTACTCTTTTGTGAAGATGTTAGAGTTTAGTCGGAGCCGTATTCGTTAGATTTTTTTGGTGTGTACAATAAGTTACAACACATTTATAGGCAATGGCCATCCACGATGTAAAATACCAGTTCTTGTCCGATCGCTGAAATCAAGCGTCGTCGGGCGGGGTTAGTACTTGGATGGGTGACCGCTTGGGAGCACCGCGTGTCATTTGTCAAATCTTTTTTTGCCCGTTATTAAAAATAATTATAAGAAAAATTGAACGTACTAATATGTACTATTTTTGGTAGAATTTTTAAGAACGATGAAAATGGGTATTAGCTTATAAAAGTCAATAATGAGCATTATATTCACGTATGGATCTNCCTTTGCTAATGATAATTAAGACCTGACTTATTTAATGTGTCACTAAATGTCACCTCATTCGAATCAGACATACACACTTCCAAGTAAAACTGAAGTTAGCCGGCAAGGCCGAAAGGTACTGGAGTCCCATACGGGAGGCAATCCAACTATAGTTGAGATTTCGGAAGATCTGTTTTAGCAATTCTTTTTTTGTATTTAATTTTTTTTTTTTCAGATTCTTTCCTCACGGGCGAAAATGTTAGTAAATTCAACAAGGCCCCAAGCACAAGAAATTAAAGAACAACGTAATCATGACAAAACAAGTTAATGTGAAACAAAGGAGTTGTTATTGCAATATCCGGGCAGTCACGACAATATATACATATTTTAACATGTAATAAATAATGAGCAATCGTTAATAATAACTGTAACAATTTTACGTTAGAAAAATATACGCCCCTGAGCATAAGAAAATGAAGGCTAAACATATACAGAATTAATATCATGAAACGTCTATAACCATCACAATCATAAGATTACATATTAACAACAAAGTACTTAAAGAACAATTACCTGCTAATTAATACCGGTTAAACACTTTTAATTTTTCACTACTAATGTATTTTCACTTCCACTATCTAGGCTTCCTTTCAGAATTCCCCACCTAAGCGCTTTTTTTTGTGCTTCCTTCTACCAACTGTCAATATTACGTTTTCATTAAAATGCAACACCCATGTAACAGGTGACGTCGAAGTTGATTAACTTTAATTTTAATTCAAACAAAATAGTGACATCTGCAGCCTATTAATGTTACTTCAAATTTTCCCTACCTACTTTTCTCGCGTTGCTAACCAATCTCTATTTACATTTGTCTTTTAAAACATATATTTAAAAAGTATTTTTTGATTGATGAAAGGTTTTGATGATTAAATACAAAAAATATAAATAGAGAAATATAGACGTTTATGTAAAAATAATACCAGCCCCTTATTTTAGGAAAGAACACGTAGATACAGTTGGGACTAAAATTTTCAGTACTTATTTTACGAACTAGGAGAACAGAACGATATAAACCCTAGCATTCATTTGTTTCAGCACTTACTCCCAGCTTTTAAAAAGATAACTCAATTAACGGACTATACGGCGACGGAGGGCGAATGAGAAGTTAACAGTTTTATTGTTTATTTGCAACTGGGGAATGTTTTACAGTGCAGTGAAATGACGAGTGACTGATGGCATTGGAGTTTAATGAAGTTCTTAATTTGCTGATGGTCGCAGCGGTGCAAGCGTCAAAATAGACATTGTAGTGTAACTAATGCGTAGACGTTTTCATTAAGCTTCTGTAAATTTGTAGAGTATTGCATCTCTACATGTATTTTAAACTTATCCTATATTTCATTACCTGATTCCTGGTAAAACATATCTATTTTAAGATGATTTGACCAGTGCATTAAATGTTTTAGATTATTTTACGTAAGTGACTCGTGTATACATAATATAATTATCTTTTATTTAATGTAGATGACAAATCCATCTTTCATCTGGTCTTGCATTAGTAACAGTTTATTTTTGACCCATAATATTGGTCTAGATAAATATGAGTAAATTTTATCGTCACCACTGAGAGAATCGCTATTTACATAGCTTGGCCAAACTCGTTCTTGCAATGCGGAGATCAAGACAGTTCGCAGTAGGAGTGACAGAATGGGAGATCTTAATAGTAAGACAAGTACCTTCAGTGCAATGTTATACCAATATTCAGCGTTCAGCGTTCAGATAGAGACTGCGCTTCGAATTTGGTCAAGCTGTATATTGCCACATCTAGACATTTGAAGTGTTGTATCTGATAGACCAGTTTTTATAAACCGAGTCCATGGAAAATTGGAGAATATAGGTCCTCTATAACCTAGGCTACACACTAGATAGATGATGACACTAAATATGTGCTTTCCAAAAGCCTAAATATTGTCACAGCGCCCAGTACACTTCCAAAGGAAAAAATCGTCCTGAAAGCGACGTGCTCGTGTCTCCCCCAAAAAGTCACAGGAGAAGTAAAAACTGCGACAGCGNTATAGGCAACGGCCATACCACGATGTAAAATACCAGTTCTCGTCCGATCACTGAAGTCAAGCATCGTCGGGCGCGGTTAGTACTTGGATGGGTGACCGCTTGGGAACACCGCGTGTCGTTGTCAAATCTTTTTTTGCCCGTAATTAAAAATAATTATAAGAAAAATTGGACGTACTAATATGTACTATTTTTGGTAGAATTTTTAAAAACGATGAAAATGGGTATTAGCTTATAAAAGTCAATAATGAGCATTATATTCACGTATGGATCTCAAGAGAGAAATTTTAATTATTTCTGAATTTATGAAATAAAGACATTCTTATTAAAAAAAATGCTTTTGTTCAAATGTCGAGAAATTTTAATTTTGATGTTCACACCCATGATCGACTTATACATGGTGTTTTCCACAAGGAAATGAAATTGAAAATTATGTGATGTTTTAAGTTAGGTTGTCTTGTCTTTCAAATAAATCTCTAATTTCCTCGCAAAATCTTCTGTCTATGTCATCTGCCCATAGTTCTTGTAAGACGTTAACTTTGTAAGGATGCCATTTTTGATACTTCAGTTCTGCAAGATAGATCTATTGATGAGTGAGATTTTCAGTAACGGTGAGCATCACATTTCGACGGCCATTTTCGCTTACCGTTCTTCGCCTTCCTGATCTAGGTAAATATTTTATACTTCCGGTTTCTTCAAACTATTTGGATATACTTTACTTATGTAGGTCAACTAATTCTTTGGTCTGAATACTTATGGTGAAATAAGTCACATACCTCTTGTTGACTACGGATTTTATGTCTGCATCCAATGATAATTAAAATTTCAATACTCTGTTTTTCGCTTAAACGGGCAACCATTTTTCAAAATAATTTAACAACAAAACAACCATTTAACATAAAATGAGAGTGCCAGGCTCACCTAGAGCTCCGGTGGGGAAAGAGCATGGCAGAGAAACCCACGATCGTTGCTCTAACTACCCAAATATAAATACAAAACAACCGATAACCAAAGGCATA